TAACTAGATAGCAAAACAGAATAAGAACATAAGTAGAAGTCAAATTGTGAACTTTCAAAATTGGATCTCCTGTGTGGCAGTCGTTGGTGGCATTGCTGCAAGGTGTCTCTTTGGTGTCGTTGATTTCAGCACGTTGGTGTTTGTTGTTGTCATGACAACATGTCTGGTTGCCCCTTGCCATCACAATGTCATATGTAATTTTCCAGTTTCACTCTCATGCTTTCTGGTCTTTATCACAATTTTTTTTTTTTAAATATGGAACGCTTCACGAATTTGCGTGTCAACCTTGCGCAGGGGCCATGCTAATCTTCTCTGTATCGTTCCAATTTTAGTATATGTGCTGCCGAAGCGAGCACTTTATCACAATTTTTATTTTTCTCTTCTGAAATGTTCATTATGTGTTGGCTGCATGGAAAGCCATCCAGACATCCTGACAGGGTTCCTCCCTTCAGAGTAGAGTGACCCACAAGGCCGGGGTCATGGAGGGAACAGCAGAAACCAAGGACGAGGGGGTGGAGAATGTGTTGGATGTGGCCCAAGGCCATGGCCTGTCTGCCTTAGTTCCTACTCAATGATTATGGATAATCTAAGTTGGAAGAATAGAGGGCGCAGGGGCTCAGACTTATTTGGGAAAGTTAAGGCAGGGGCAGGTGCCTTCAGCCAACTCCTGTCCTATGCATCCCCATATCTACTGGCTTTTTGTTTTGCTGGCTGCAGAAGACAGAGGGAGGAGGTGAACTTTCTGCTCTGGAATGAAGCGAGTTCACTGCTCGAGTTCTGATTCTGCAGTCTATAAGAAAACAAAGAGACTTACAATGACAGCAATGGTTAGTCTAATTAAGAAGACAAGGTGCTTACAAGCATTAAATCTTGTCTTCTGCAAGGTGTAGGGGACAGGAATATAAAGGGGAAGGGGCGAGGGTGAGGGATGTAGCTACGTGCAGGCCTGGGGTCTGTAGACATCAGCTATTGTCAGGCGATGAGATGATGTTGAGGAGATGATGTTAACTCCTGGTGGGTCGAGCTGACCATGCTTATTGGTTCTGCTTGCTGGAGTCACCGCTGAGTCACCTCCCTAATCACTTTGCACAGGCCTTGAAAAGAAAAATTTAAGAAAAACTTAACTGCCTATTCACCTATAAGTATATGTGTTCTAAGATTTAAAATAATATGATTACTTTTCAAGTGCTCTATTAGATTTATTATTCAGTATACTTATAATTCCTTTTGAGATTTCTCTTTATAAACCTTCTATGACTTTTATAACCATTCTTATAACTTTCACAATTATTCTTAAGTATTCCTACTCTAATTTCCTTTCTTCCTATTATATTCCTTTTTTTATATCCTTTCTCACAATTTTTACTTGCTCAACTCTAGTTCTTTATTGATACAGACCCTCTGTAACTTACACATACCTTTTTACAGCTTACACATACCTTTTTCAATTTACATATACCTTCTGTAACTTACACATACCCTTTCAGTTTATCTACTTCACTTCCTTTTTCCTGTATCTCTATATCTTCTATTATATGAAAAGTATAAATTCCTTCTAATTAGTTATGATTAAAGGTAGTTCTATACAGGTTCCTCTATTCCTAGCTTCAGAGCAGTCGGAGTGGTGAGATGTCTCAGAGTCTATCTCTTTTTCCTCCAGTTGACCCATCGTCCTTGCTCTGCCCATGCCTGTCTAACTGCCTACTGTACGCCCCTCAAGGATCTTGGCTCTGAATTCTCTCAGGGAAAGGGGACGCCGGTTTCTTCTGTAGCTGCTTCGTGCTGAGGCAAGTCAGAGGTTTCTCTGAGCCACGAGATCCTTGCTCTCTGTCAGAGGGACGATGATGCCTGGGCACAGAAGGAGGTGGCAGTGGTGCCTAGAGGTGGTATTCCCTAGGTGCAAGTAGGGCTTATAGTCTGGTGGAGACAAGCTGTGTTATAAAATTTAGTATTATTGGGCCAAAGTTAGAACAGTTTTTAACAATTTTCTGTTGAAACAATTTTTCTCCCTAAAATACCCTCATTTTTATTAAAGACTAATCTACTTACTGTATTAAATCTAGTTATAATTTGGCCTGATTGTTTGTATGAATACAACAAGAATAACAGTTGATTACATCGGCTATTTTTTTTAAATGTGCTTTGCTGGGATCTCATTGGAAAGTTTACTCCCAGGACAAAGAAGCCAAGCCACACAGTTGCCATCAGGCTTCGCCTGCAATACCTACAGAATTGGGGTGCATTCCTCAAGTTGAGGTCTCTACAGGTGTCTTGAGATTTCTTTCATGTCATCTCTCAGGAAAGCCACCTTCGTTCCTTACCTGGAAAAACCACCATGAACCACATGACCAATAGGTACAAGGCTCTTTATCCAAAGGGCTTATCGGCTTCAAAGTCAGTCTTCATTCCTTAGAGCTTTCTGGTGACACCTAGAGTCCTGGCATGTCCCTTTCAGACATAAGAATCCAGCAAAGTTTTGGTTAATAAAACGACAATTGGAAGCTGACTTATATATTGTTATGAAGAAATCAGATTCTTATTGGATTCATGCAAACAAACACATTGCCATGAGAACAATGATTACTAAAACTATAATTATTTTTAGTTCATTTAGTCCTATAATCAAATTCTTTTTCTCCTGAGTTTTCTTGCCAGTATTTCTATAAATCCAGATACTCTATTGAGTTCTAGTAATTGTTATCCAATTCGAGAGGATGATCTGAAAGTTTATTCTCAGAGATATGTAGCTGAAAGTAAATCGGAGTCCTTTCCATGGAACCCTCGGAAGATGTAACATTTTTTTAAATGTCTCCAAATGACAAGAAATTTAAAATGACAGTTATTGATTTGATTATAATCCAAATGACATGGAATCTTGCCCTTTCTGCAAAATACAACATTCCACGATATTATAACTTATAGCAATTAGTTATAAATAAAAGCATATTAGATTCTATTTAATATGCGTATGTAAATATAATTATCATTTCATTATTGGACAGAGCTTCCCATATATCTTAAGTATAAAATTTTCCTTCATAAGGAGAGAAAGCAAATCCCTGAGGCATTCCAGGGCCCATTGTAATGACCTAAAGTCATTTCTAGGTCAAGGAAAAGTTTCTTAAAATTCAAACCCTGGTAAGGTAGTCAAATACATTAAACAAAAATATTATATTATTATTATTATTATTAAACAGTATTAAGACATCTATTCACTTAAAGTAATCAACTTCCTGATTAACATAATATAATCATTTTAATAATTTATATATAAAATCTTTGCTTCCTAGGTAAATACAGGAAAAACCTTTTTTTCCTTACTTTCAGAAACAGGCTTATTTTTCTATTGGGAAACATACATTCTTAAGAAGCATAACAGAGATAGTGAATTCCTTAGCTGACAAACAATTCCCTCAAACTTGGAAATCCCAAGCAGCTGCAATGACTTACTGCGCAGTTACTTTCGTTTTCTTACTTTTCATTTTTGAGGGTTCTGCCATGTTTCATTGTGTTCCTTGGTCCTCACACGGGGCACCACTTGCCGGAACTGACCAGCAGACCCTGAACGATGGATGAATGATGACTCTGACACACGTTTCTGTGTGAGAGAGGGCTAAGGGACTGCTTGGCTACAGGGACCAAACAGCCCCCTTCACCTGCCTCCTCAGGCTTTTATTGTAACAACAGCTTGAACTAAAATTACCTGTTAGATACTATCAGCAGGGCACGCATCCTTGTGAAGACACATGCATCTGCAGTGTCCTTTAAGCAAGGACGTGTCTAAGTAAACACCCGGGGCTCAGGCTTGTTTGGAAAAGTTAAGGCAGGGGCAGGCACCTTCAGCCAACTCCTGTCCTATGCTTCTCCACAGGCCAGAGTAATTTTACATACTTGGAACTTAAACAACATCTTTCTAAATAACCATTGGGCCAAGCAGACATTCCAGGGAAAATTAGGAGTAATTTAAACCACATAGCAATGCCATTGAGCACATTAAAATTTGTGACCTGGCTAACACCATCCACAGAGGAAACTTTTTGCTTTAATAGTTTTATTAGAAAAGATGGAAGATGAAACCAAAGAGCTAAGCTTCCACCTCAACAAACTAGAAAAAGAGAGAAAATAAAAGCCAGGGCAAGTAGTAGAAAGGAATAAAAAGGAAAAGCATGTAATTCTGTAAAGTAGAATCAAGAGAGAATATAACAGATATTACCATTGGAATTCATCCAGTCTGCACAGTAGTTTTCATTATTGTGTGAAATGCCGTTACCATCACACTGGCTCAAAGTTATCACCTTCCCCCAGAAAGATAGTAAGTTTTTTTCTTTTTCCCATTTTACGTGCTGCCTCTCACCAAAAACCTATCAAAGATCCCTTTCATTCACAGTATACATACACACAGGCACACACACCAGCATGCCTGCAAATATACCTCTATGTGCATACTGCTCAGTGTACCCCGTTTTATTAGTTTTCTAAGTGTGTGATTGATTATACAAAGTATCAGTGTCACTCAGGATACAGTGCAGATGGTCAAAGACCTCTGAGGAACAGCCAATTCCTGAAGGAATAGCAAAATGAAAACAATCTTTCAGGAAATGGATGGAGGTATTCGCGTGTGCACACATACAGATTTCACCCCAAAATTTCAGATGTAAGAAATTGGTCCGTTTAGTGCCAATTAACTTTCATCCCTTATGGTGGCAGGTTCCTTAATATGCTGTCTGTGCTCACTTTGTGTGTCCTTTCCAAAACAGTTCTAAAATATTCCAACAATGTTGTGAGTGTACATTGCGTTTTGAATGTCAGTGTGTAGAGCAGGAGATAAAATTCAGAGACCGGCTTCACAGGAGGTTATGTTAAGAGGAACCAAAGGCCCCTTTGGTGAAATGCAGGGTACATTTGTTCAGACGCAGTCCATTCATTGCACACAGGGTCCATCAAGGGCTGGGTGGGCTCCTTCGTGTCTCACGCATCTTTTTTAATTTCCTCTCTTGCAGATAAAGAATTCATCTACAGAGAGCAGAAAGGAAATGTGATACTGCGGAACGTTGAAACTAATCTGTCTACAGTGTTAATCGAAGGCAAAAAAATTGTAAGTACTCTCCTCATTGACCAGGATAATTCCCGCGGTCTCCTGCAAGTCAATAAAGCAGAAAATGACTTTGAGTTTAAACTTTCAGTATAGCCGAGCAGAAGCAATGAACTTGTAATACTCCAGGCTGAGCAAGGGTAGATAACGTGAAATTGAAACCACACTAATTAAATAAGATAAAAGCCCAGATTCTCCCGGGGTTTGGGACATTTCTCTGCGGGTGTTGAAAACAAGTGCTGCAGATCATATGTAATTGAAAGATCAAGTCCCCAAGGCTTCCCACATTTACAGGACAACTAGAGGCCTGGTGCACAACATCTGTACACTGCAGCGGGGGGCAGTCCCCTCAGCCTGGCCTGCACCCTCTTGCAGTCTGGAACCCCCTTGGGGGATGTCCGACTGCCGGCTTAGGCCTGCTCCCTAGGCATCCCCCGAGGGGTCCTTAGCACAGCTGCAGAGGCATGAGAGGCTCCTGCCACCACTGCTGCACTCACCAGCCATGGGCCCAGCATCTGGCAGAGTGGCACTCCCCGTGTGGGAGCGCACTGACCACCAGGGGGCAGCTCCTGCATTGAGTGTCTGCCTCCTGGTGGTCAGTGCATGTCATAGTGACTTGTTATTCCACTGTCTGGTCAATTTGCATATTAGGGTTTTATTATATAGGACTAGAGGCCCTGTGCATGAAATTCGTGCACAGGAGTGGGGGTCCCTCAGCCTGGCCTGCACCATCTCCAATCCCGGACCCCTTGGGGCTGCTGGCTCCTAACGGCTCACCTACCTGCTGGCCTGATCCCCCTAACTTCTCTCCCCTGCTGGCCTGATACCCCTAACTGCTCTCCCCTGCTGGCCTGATCCCTCTAACTGCTTTCCCCTGATGGTCTGATCCTCCTAACTGCTCTCCCTTACTGTCCTGATCCTCCTAACTGCTCTCCCTTGCCTGCCTGATCGCCTCTAACCACCTCTGCCTCAGTCCTGCCACCATGGCTTTGTCCGGAAGGACGTCCAGAAGGTCGTCTGGAAGATATTCAGTCTAATTAGCATATTACCCTTTTATTAGTATAGATGGCACCTTGCCTAAAAATGCAAGTTGTTAGCAGGTTTTCCTATCATGGAAGGGGAGCCCGCAGTAGCATCCTGGGTTCTGACCAGGGCTTATGCACTCGTGCTTTATCTCAGCAGATGAGATTCCTAGAAGAAGACTCTTGGATGTACCTTGAACATTTCTATCGATTTTGCCAAATCATCCTCCAAAAATGTTGAATCACTTTAAACTCCCACCAGCAACCATGCATGTGCCCCCTGTCCTACTTTGATGCCAGTATCATTGATTTCCCCCTAGAAGCTTCCCTCCCATCAGCCGGGACTGCTTGGCACTTGAGCCAAACTCACTGTTCAGCCCAGGACTTGATTTCCCGAGATAGAATTATGGAGGAGGAAAAATAGTTTTCCTCTACCCTTCTGAGTTCTTAGTGGAGGCCCTTGTAATGAAAGACAGATTACCAAGAGAAAAACCAAAGTTCATTAACATGTGTACCTAGTGCATATGTGGGAGATCCCAGGGAAAAGTTAATAACTCCCCAAGGTGGCTTAGAATCCAGATTTAAATACCTTCTTCCTAGGGAAAGGGGATAGGATATGTAGGCCTCTTCAGACCTTCCTGGGAGATGTTATAACATACCCTGTGGTTATAGAAAGGTGTGGGCCATATCACTAAATAAACCAGGGTCAGTTTTCTCATCTTGTGGAAAGGGAGAAAAGTTATGATAGTTTTTCTCCCTTTCCACAGGTTTCCTGCCAGTTTGTGTCTCTGCTGCAGCCCCAGTGGCCCCAGCACCTCTGCAGCCTCGGGGTTAGCGGCTGCTGGGTGCCGGCCCCCCTATGGGTTGTGTCTCTGCTCTTCTGGCCCCAGTTGCCCCAGCGCCACCTTGGGGCTTGGGGCCGCTGGCTGCCGGCCCCCCTGCGGAATGTGTCTCTGCTCCTCCATCCCAGTGACAGCGCCAACAAAGCAGGCCCAGAGGCCCACTACCAGTGGGTTGGGGCAGAATGCCTGCATTGTTGCCATGGCGACAACGCAAGCGTCCTGGCCCAGCCACTGCCATCTTTGTTGTGGAGTGATGGCTAATCTGCATATTACTCTTTTATTAGATAGGATTGTGATCATGCATGGGAAATAGTTCAGGAGGACTTGCTCAATCTCGTCTTAAAAAACAAACTAATCTTGGGGGGTGGGTTAGAGGTAGAAGAGGGTATATTGAGGATAAATGGTGATGGAAAAATAACAATAAGATAAAAGGGAAAAAACTAACCTCTACCAATGATACTGCTGTAATTAACCTAGTTATGCATAACAGGAAGTGAGCAAAGGGAAGGCCAGAAAGTATAGGTATGTTCCATGCAATACTTACTTGCCTGTCAATCACACCTGGGAACAGAGGTCACCCGCCAAAATGGGTGTGGCCACTGCAAGTGGACTAAGATTTGGGGTATCTAATCCCCTGAACAAAGGAATTCACTCCATTGTGCTTTTGGGACCCTTGGGGCTCTAGATGCTTAGGGCAAGCTCTCCTGCATTACCCTCCTGGCCCATGCCCTGGGGACCCCCCACACAATGACTGATGGACTGTGACTAGCCTGATGCTGGACTGGGCCCGGCTCCACCATGGGAAGGAAAACTGGCTTTGCTCTTAGCTCTACTGAACCCCCAGCTGCACTCCTATGACTGGACTCAGGGGAAAGGGACTGTAGAAATACAGGACGTAGTTCCACACAAATAAAAATCACTCATTCTCCCGTGCGAGTCTCAAAATTCTTTTTCTCAGAATAGCCTAAGAACTCCAGCCTCAGCTGCACCCAGTGGGGAACGGACTCCCACTTTCTCTGATAACGCCTGCACAGGGAATATTCATGTAGGCACTGATGCATTTTCTCAAATGGCAGGAAGCCACATTAGTGCTTTCAAACAAGTATTCAGTTTCCGTGAGTGCCACAGATCACAAGTACCTGGTCCATGTGAGTGCCACAGCTCACAAGTACTCAATCCCCGTGAGTGCCACTGCTCGCAAGTACTCAGTCCCCATGAGTGCCACAGATCACAAGTACTCAGTCCCTGTGAGTGCCACTGCTCACAAGTACTCAGTCTCCATGAGTGCCATAGCTCACAAGTACCTGGTTCCTGTGAGTGCCACAGCTCACAAGTACTCAGTCCCTGTGAGTGCCACAGCTCACAAGTACCTGGTCCCTGTGAGTGCCACAGCTCACAAGTACTCAGTCCCTGTGAGTGCCACAGCTCACAAGTACCTCATCCCTGTGAGTGCCACAGATCACAAGTACTCAGTCCCTGTGAGTGCCACAGCTCACAAGTACCTGGTCCCTGTGAGTGCCACAGCTCACAAGTACTCAGTCCCCATGAGTGCCACAGCTCACAAGCACTCAGTCCCTGTGAGTGCCACAGATCACAAGTACCTGGTCCCTGTGAGTGCCACAGCTCACAAGTACTCAGTCCCTGTGAGTGCCACAGCTCACAAGTACTCAGTCCCTGTGAATGCCACAGATCACAAGTACCTGGTCCATTGGAGTGCCACTGCTCACAAGTACTCAGTACACATGGGTCCCACAGCTCCGTGGTGACTGGGTGAGGGTCCGTCAGCTCTCCACATCCTCTGTTCAGGGGCAAGAAAGGGCGGCTCGGCCTGGGTACGACCCCATCCTGGACCCATCCAAATGCTACTCACCCCTCTTTTCTCCTCAAGAACACTTTACTTGCTATTTAAATGCCTTTCATTTCCCTTTGGTGTGATGATAGTTTTTTCCTTTAAAAACAAAAATAAAAGTGTATTCAGCCTTGGCTGGGTGGCTCAGTTTGTTGGCACATAGTCCTGTGCACCAGGTGGCAGGTTCCATTCTCAGTCAGCGCACGTACAGCAGGCAACCGGTCAATCTCTCTCTCTCTCTCTCTCTCTCTCTCTCTCTCTCTCTCTCTCATCAATTAAAAAAAAGCTTTTCCTCGGGAGAGGGTAAAAAATAAATAAAAATAAATAAATAAACATTGTATTGAAGTTTAGTGTGGAATGCACCCTGCTCTGTAAGTAGCCAGTTTGCTGGTGTAAGGGAGGCCAGGCAAGGCTACACCACCATGCAATAGCTTCATGGAATTAGATCATATTCTGCACAGTGAGACCCAGAGAGAACTAATGTGCCTGGGTGTTTTCCTTTTAAAAATCACCTTTGGTCCAATTACTCCCCTACGAAAATCTGACTCAACCCGCTTAGAAGGACTGCAGTTGCAGAAATGGATTTCTGATAGGAATCGAGAGGAGGAAACGATCAGACCCTGGCTGAGGGTAAGTGCTTTTTAATGTCACCACCTTGTTGATATTTCCTGCGAGGATGTCAGTTTAGGGAAAGCCGGCGCTGTGCGCGCAACTGCACTTAGCGATGAAATATGAGCCTGTGAACGGCCTTCTGTTCTCAGATCAATAGCTTGTAACACATCATATGTTTTAGCTGAAGTTGTTTTAGCCAAGAAAGGAGGCAACAGCGTCAGAAGCCACATCAGGGAAAGGTGAAGGGAAAGGGAAGCCTCCGCTCCCCCTAGGCAGACTTGCTCCACTTCCTCCCTCCCTCCCTTCCTTCCTCCTTCCTCCTTCCTCCTTCCTACCCTCACTCCCTCCTTCCTCCTTCCCTCCCTTCCTCCCTCCCTCCTCCCCTCCCTCCTTCCTTCTCTACCTCCCTCCTTCCTTCCCTCCCTCCTTCCTTCCCTCCTTCCTCTTCCCTCCTTCCTTCCCTCCTTCCTTCCTCTTCCCTTTTCCCTCCTTCCCTCCCTCCTTCCTTCCCTCCTTCCTCTTCCTTCTTTCCTTCCCTCCTTCCTTCCTTTTCCCTTCCTACCTCCTTCCCTCCCTCCTTCCCTCCTTCCCTCCTTCCTTCCCTCCTTCCTTCCTCTTCCCTCTTTCCTTCCTCTTCCCTCCTTCTTTCCCTCCCTCCTTCCTTCCTCTTCCCTCCTT